ATAATATTATTATATTTACAAGTAATTCGATACTCAATATAATATTAAATTTAAAATAGAATGAGAATAGAGAATGATCACTGTGCTTGGTTGTTGTTTCATTTATATTCATTTATTTCGTTTGTTTCATTTTTAGATTTTTCCTTTTATTGATAAATATTTCAATATAATAAAAAGCATAAAATTTAAATTGAAATTGAAAACAAATTTAAGGCTATATAAAATTCAAATATAAATATTAATAAATTACTCATCAATCTAACAAAAGGTTTGGCAATTCGAAAGAATACAATCTATAATTATTATATAAATATTTCAAATAGTTAATTATAATGTGATTGTGATTGTTAGTCTATATATATATATAGAATGTGTTATGGTTATAGAGTATTTTGGGCTTATGCCACATTTTGGCTGATCTACTCAGCGCGTGTGTTTATAATTCGCGAATCATGTTGCATTGTTCAGGGCGGCTGCTGCTGTTGTTGCTACTGTTGTTGTTGTTGTTGTTGTTGTTGTTGCTGTTTTTAGCTGTTGGTGATGATGAGGAGCTTCACTTTTATGGCCACTGGCAATGATGGGGCACATTTTGGGATGTCGCTCTCGACGTCTCGCTCTCGGGATGGGTCTGTGCCAGAGCCAGAGCCAGAGCCAGAGCCAGTGCCGGTGGCTGCTGCTGCTGCTGATGCTCGGCTCCTGTATAGCTCGCCTTTAACAATGACAATTGTTAGCGCGCTGCGCCTGATTATTTTGACTTGATAACGAGCTAAACAATAAAAACAAGCGGCTGCCAAACAAACTTGGCTCAACTTTTGCCAAGTCATGTTTAGCAGAAGACGAAGACGACGACGACGACGACGACGGTGACGATGATGACTCCGACGGCGGACAGGACTCTGTGGCTCGGTGTTTTGTAATCAATTTGAATGCAGCGTGAGTTTTGAATCTCGGAGAATCTCAATTTGAGTTTTGAGCTGTTTGTTGCTTATTTGTTGTGATTTCTTAAGTTCTTAAGTTGTTGCAATTATGCTCGGGCTGTTTGTACACTGCCTGTTTGGCCGCTGTTTCGGCCACAAAGGCAAGAACAAATAACTTCTCCTAGATAAAAGCAAATTCACATACACTTAATTATATTTATTCTGCTACTTTAATGCTTGTACTTAAGATCACCTTTGTTGTCAGCTCTCTTCACGGCCCGTAAATTGACCAAACAATAC